CCTCGGATTTCGGCCACTTTGTTTTCGCAAACATGCGCAGAGGTAAAAAAAAATAGAGACAAAAAAACAAAACAAAATAGGTTAAAATTTCAGGAAGACTCCCGTCCAGAAACTCAAACTGATGGACGCATTCCCCTGTCCTCCGCAGCCGTTGGCACCCATGCAATTCCAGAGGCATCCAGCGACTTTTTCATTACGAGCGAGCTTGAAACGTGCAAAGCGAGTCTTTTCAATACCTATACCTATAAAAAACAGCATGAACGGCCCAGCTAGGCTCAGTCAGGCCTGTAACGTTTTTAAGAGGTTTTATTTCAGCGACCACTACAACTGGGCTGATTGACTATCAGAGGCCGGTGTGGGACTTTTGGAGGCCGGTCTGGGCCCTCAGAGGCCAGTTTAACCCTCGCCGGACCTATAGGTTTTCTACATACGATCCGGCCGGGGGGGGGGCGGTTACGACCCCTCGCCTTTTCGCCCCAGGTGGAGCTAGCGCGTCGCGGAAAAAAAAACGAGCGTGTGCGCCATTACGAGACGCAGCGATCGATACCTGATTTTAAGGTCCTAGATCAATCGGTGACCTTTGGGTCAGGTCAAGTGCCCAAAGGTATGGTTCCTTTTTTGGTGAATAACTTCGCAAAAAAACGGCCGCAGAGCCGCGATTTTGCCATCATCGTGTTCGCCTCTCCCAGGCGCGTCGGATGATATTATTTTTGTTTGGGTGAGGTAAACTTAGGGTGTTGACCTCGGGTCACGGTCAGGTCAGCGCCCCCAGGTCACGAAATTGGTAGAAGGAGGTCATGTCGCATACCATTCGATTTTTCGGGTCTTCCTGAGTCCATTGGTGGCTATCCCGACTCGCTAGCTCAATTTGATCGGGAGTTATTGACGAAAAACTAATATGACCCTTATAACGACATAAATGACGTCGCGCAAGGTCAACATTGCAAAAGTGACGCATCGAATCTTGCAAGGAGTGCATGAAATCACGATTCGGTGTGCTTGAGATAGTTGGAGATCGTTCCCGGCACCAAAAAAAGGGTTTTCATTTTATCCCCATTGACTTATGCCTAATGGTGAGGTCACGAAAATGACCCGACCTCATATGACCTTTAGGAAAATCCGAGATGTACAAGTTGTGACACTCCTAATGGATACTAGGTCCTGCAAGGTTCATTTCCCTGTGAAGCTCCTCTAGCAGTGAGGGCGTTGCGAAGTTGCGACATCTGAAGACCGTGCAGAGGTTCACTTATGACCTCATAGGTCTGACATATGAGGTCATAACCTGATCTGACCCGAAAATGCGGTTGGTGTCAAAAGACCCGGCTTGATTGAAAGGTCAGGTATGTCAAGCTTCAGCTCTCTATCGCCGGCGTGTTCGGAGCTATCGCGAAAAATAGACCTATGGAGGGGCGGCACCCGCCCCCCCCCCCCCCTCGGCCGGCGAGGGTTAAGGCCCTCAGAGACCAGTGCAGGACCTGCAAAGGGCAATTTGAGACCTTTAGATGCCGACTGACTCGGGCCATCAGAGGCTAATGTGGGTCCTTACAGGGCAGCATGGGCCCTTAGAGGTCAGTGTGGGGCCGTAACAGACCGGCATGGGCCGGCGTTGGACCCCAGAGGCCAGCAGAGGGCCCTTTAAGGCCAATATGAACCCTCAGAGGCCGATGCAGACCCTTAGAGGCCGGTATCGGGTCTTCAGTATGAAGTGGGGGGGGGGCTCAGAGGCTAGGGTTCTTACAGGCCAGCATGGGCCCTTAGAGATAAGTGTGGGACCCTAAGAGACCAGCGGAGGGCCCTCATAGGCGAAGGTGGGCCCTCAGAGGCCGATGCAGACCCTTAGAGACCGGCATCAGATCTTCAGAATCCAGTGCGGGGCCCTCAGAGGCTAATGTCGGTCCTTACAGGCCAGCATGGGCCCTCAGAGGTCAGTGTGGGACCCTAAAATACCGGCATGGGCCGATGTTGGACCCCAGAGACCAGCAGAAAGCCCTCAAAAACCAATATGGGCCTCATACCCCGGCATCAGGTCTTTAGAATCCCGTGCAAGGCCCTCAGAGGCTAATGTGGGTCCTTACAGGGCAGCATGGGCTCTTAGAGGTCAGTGTGGAGCCCTAAAAGACCGGCATGGGCCGGCGTTGGACCCCTAAGGCCAGGATGGATCCTCAGAGGCCGATGCGGACCCTTAGAGGCCGGCATCGGGTCTTCAGAATTCAGTGCGGGGCCTCAGAGGCACCTAAAGGTTATTCTTGTGACCCCAGAGACAGAAATGAGGCCACCAGAGGCCAGAGTGAGGCCCTCAGACGCCGACTGGGCTTTTGAGACCGGTTTAGGAGCCCTCAAATGCCAGTGGAAGGCCCTCAGAGGTCAATGTGGGTTCTCAGCGGTCAATGTGGGCGCTTGACCGCCACTGAAGGGCCCTCCGAGATCAGTGTAGGACCCTCAAAGACTGGTATGGGAGCTGTTAATAGCTGGCGTGGGTTGTTTGAGTCTCGTGACAATCGAATAAGGGCCAGAGCCCCATACTCCCATGGGGGCCCATTGGTTGTTTGGGGGGTCCAAATGATATGATGGCCCCCTGATTAGCCTTTGGAGGGGGAAGGGTATGGCCCTGGCCTGATCCCCCCTGTGCGACCGCCACTGCACTGAAAGTGGAAGGGGGAGGGGCAGATACAGACATTGCTGGCCCCCTAGCCTGTTTGAACCGAGGCAGGGGGCACGGTCACCCTGGCCCCCAACTACTACGCCTTTGACGAACTATGCCGACTCCAAGCAGATCCGGTCAAGCGCTGGTCGTCTGTATACGCATTCTCCTGCACCGTGCTAGTATTGTCTTATACCTTTTCACTTTTCAGTGCTCGCTGTCCCGCGCCTCGTATTCAACAAAATGTTGCCATCAGGACTCACAGGTTTGTCTCTGATATGGGTTTTTTCATTGAGTGAAGGAAATTGGGGTCAATAACTCTGTAGAACAAAAGGGAATCTTCATTAAAGGGCAAGCTGAATAGTCGTCAAGTTCTGGTGTTTAGGGTACCGAGTGGTAGGTACAGACAGACAGTAAAGTCAGCAAAAAGTGGGGGGGCCAGTTAACATTGCTGCCCCCCCCCCACCTCCGAAAGTGGGGGGACATGGCCCCCCGGCCCCCCTGTTCCTACGCCTATGTCAGCAAGAGACATTATAGCTATTCAACGCTATTTTCTAACACCCTGACAATAACTTAACCCTCGCCCGTATTGGTGTTTTTCCAGCCGCGAACGTATAAGGGGGGGGGGGGTCCGTTGGACCCCCCCTTGCCGTTTCGCCCCTGATCGAGCTAGAGCTTCGCGGAAAAAACGAGCGTGTTGCTCGTGACGAGAGGAAGCTGCTGATACCCAATTTTAAGGTCCTAGGTCATTGGTTGACCTTGCAGGTCAGGTCAATGACCCAAAAGTCGGGAAAATCGGGACCTGTTAGAACGTCGTAAAGTGTGGCTGATATGGGGTTTTTCGGGGTGCTGATCACGAATATCATGTTAGTTTTGATCACAGATGATGTCTTCATGCATTTAGGCCGGGTCGGGTCAGGTCAGGTCAGGTCAACCAGTAAGGGTATTCGTAGTAGGTGGCAACCGCCTCTGACAGCTTCGTAACATGTTACGAAGGCACCAAGACTACTTCGTAAATGTTCATATGGTTGCTAAATTCGAATTCAGCTCCAAAAACTGGCCTAAAACATGTAAAACTCGAAAAAGTGAACCGAGGTCATCAAAGGTCAATGACCTGACCTGACCTTCAGGTGACCTTGACACCCACCCTAATGCATGGGGGCAGCATCATATCACATGTTTGAACGCTTGAAACTACGAAAAGACTGCAAACGCGCGGCTAATGCGAGCCGACATACGCCGAATCGCGATTCCGGCCAAACATGGTCTCGAAAAGTAGGTCACAGGTCAAAGGTCATTTGGGTCAGGGTCATGAAATTTTCAGGGTAGGTGTAAAATTGATGAACGCGAGGGTACTGAAAGTTTCGCCGCGATCGACCGCTTTTTACGCGAGTTATTCGCGAAAAACCATGGGGGGGTCCGTTCGACCCCCCCCCCCCCTATACGGGCGAGGGTTAAACGATTCTATAAAACGTAATAAATAAGAAAAAAGTCACATAGGAATAACACCCCGACAATAACTATAACGATTCTATAAAACGTAATAAGATAAAAGTCACAGGAAATACGTGGTCAAATCTGACCTGACCGGTATATAGGGCCGTGACCAGACCAAACTCCTCAGACAAGCTCCTCATCCTGGTAGCTGAGACGTCTCCATGGCAACCGCCAGCCAGTCGCGCCCAACGGTAGAAAGGGACTTCCCCTCTCCCACGCGCAGCGGGGCGAACCGCGCCAGGGGGACTTCCCCGTTCAGGAAAACTGAAGCCGAGTGTCCGTTGTTTTTTTAGATAAGTACGCTCCTTACCATGTTTTTACATGTCCTGATTATTGAAAGAGTTGTAAACGTCACGATAATCCATCCAGGCCCTGGTCTCAACTCTCAGGCCTCCATATCAGCTTCACCTAGCCCGGCCAAAACTAGCCCTGCCTGACTAATATTTACCTAACCCAACCACTCACTTCACTCTGCACCCAAGGCCCTATATTGATATACCTACCCCTGCACCTGTCTCACACTGAATAGCTACCACTGGCAGAAAGCTATCCTGCAGATTACGTCAGACTGATGGGGATGTGTCACGTGATCTCACTCCAGCGGATTACCTCAATGTTGGGTGCGCTGATAAACATCGTTATTTAGATTTAGGGCATGGAACAGAACAGAACCTATGCTTGTTCAACTGTTGTGAGCTTGCAGCATTCGGCCATACCTTCAACACGTTACCGTGCCGCTGAGGACTAGCCCCTGAAAAATACCCACAGGCCACACAAAGACCACACTGTTTAGCCAGCCCCCCCCCCCCCTCATTTCCACAGAGATGTGTGACCGTCTGTGTCACCCCTCCCCTGACCTCACCTCGTCTCCTCTGTCCGTACTGTCGTCTTAGCCGTCCGTATTTCTCCGTCTCCACTTTCCGTACCCCCACCTACTACGCCACACTCCCAGCAGCCACTGGCAGTCCCAAGGCCGACGCTCGACATCAGCCGCCTCTGGTTCCGACAATCGCCGATAGGTGGCAGCAGGTCCTGTGCTCAGTTCGCCGTATGTGGTTCCGACTAGTGATGTCAATTACGGAAAATCGTGATACCGATACCAAACCAAATACCAACAAAAACCATGAGAAAATACCGAAACCGAACCGACTTTGGAAAATGCGAAAAATACCTACCAACTTTTTACCAAATTAGCTGCCTCTTTTACATTAGTCAGGATTCATAATATCAACAAAATACCGAAAGCCTTAGTATTGAAATACCAAATACCAAGTTTGTATCGGTTTGGTATCGGTATTCGGTACCTATACCAAAAAGTTGGTATCCGATTGACATCTCTAGTTCCGACAACCGCCGATAGATGACAGCAGGTTTCCAATTCCAACAGTCTGTAAGTCTGTGTCGTTGAATTTTAGGCCTTTAACTTTTGATTTTTACCTTTTAAATTTTACCAGTCGTGCGATTCGCTCCCCAAAATTCAAAGAATATTTAAAGATACATCCACAATGCTGTGGCTCTTCCACACCCGAGTGACCTTACGACTCGGGTGTGTTTTACGTCAGTGGAGGTAAAACCAGGATAGGTAGGTATAGGGCAAAACAACGGTGAGGCTAACACAGATAAACACAAACACAGTACCATTCATTCACTCCTTGCATTCACTTATCAGCCATCAGTCCCAGTACCACAACAGTACCACGTGTACAGCGGCAACTGCTTAAGATGGCGTTTTAACTTTTGAAGGCACATCCGGTGAGGCATTTAACCCTATTCCTGGCGGGGGGGGGGCCTCAGGAGCCCCCCCCCCCCCTGAGGTTTTTTGGTTATTTCTCCCAAACGCGTTGAGCTAGGAAGCTCAAATTTTCTGACTTTTCCTAAAAGGCTTCTACGCAACATGTCTGAAAATTTTGAGTTGATCTGACCTCAGGTCAGGTCACCAGAGGCGGTTTGGTGACCCTACCTCAGAAAAGTTTGCAATCACGCCAGAGCTAGAGTTTTTGACCGATCAATTTCTTCTCTTCAGGGTTTAGTTAGGATACCAGTATGTGCAATTTGTATATCTCGGAATTTTGATATCGGTGACCTAAGGTCAGGTCAATTTCGCGACCTCCCCATTATAAGTCAATGGGGGAAAAATCAACTCCCTGTTTTTACCACTAAAACGGGTCGGAATGGCCCCATATACCATACATGACTTCATATACGATCAACCTTCACTACCTTGAGGTCTGTTTTGCTGTTGGGCAGCTGTGAGGTCATGTGACGTCATCAAAGGTCACCAAAGGTTTTTGGCCAATAACTCCGTACAGGAACAAGATACAGACGCGTGGATGGTCTCATTGTGTTCAGCTCGTCAAGACGCATCGAATGATATACATGATGACCTCGAGGTCACGTGACCTGAGGTCAACCTTTGACCTTGACCTTTCGAGGTCAACATATATATCATTCGATGCGGATCGACGAGAGGATCACGATGATGCCCTTAGTTTGTTCCTATCTTGACTAATTCGAAAGTTATTCGAGAAAAACTCTCTCCATATCTAGCGCCGCCATTTTGACTTTTTCGACCCCTGTGACGTCATCTTTGACCTGACCTGAAAATGACCTCAGTAAAAATTGTAGATCTTGGCCGTGCGTATCCAATGCCGTTTACCGCTTGTCGCTATCTTGCTTCGTTCTCGAGATCTCAGGGGGGCCGAATCGGCCCCCCCCCGCCAGTTTCTTGTCCCGGCGGAGCCCGCCAGGAATAGGGTTAAGCTCGCTCGGGAGCCGGTTAAACATTGCACTGCAGTGTGATAGCCACCTGGTGCCGGAGGATGTCTCTCTGCTCTCTGGCAGTGGCAATGCAGCTGGCCGATCTGGCGAGTAGGATTGTGGAGTACAGACATGCGAAAACATGACTGCAATGTCGGCAGGTAATTCAGTATCTAGAGCGACTTTTTAATCAAGTCTATGGTAGCTCACGAGCAGCTCAGCGCGTAACCACCCGAGTTGATGAAACACGTCAGAAATGTGATCAAAATTTGTGCCGGCCGCTCACAACACGAGCTCAGAAATTTAGCAGTTTCTGAATGTGGTGCTTTTCTGTTTTACCGCCGGACCCGCAGATGGAGATGCAGTACTCAGTAGCGAATTGAGCAAACCACAAGCGCGTTCACAATGTAAGTAACGGTCCGGCAGGTATGACATACTTGGAATGGGACAGCGAACTCAAAAGACCGGTACATTTGCCAACCAGCTGGCTAACATCATCCCCGAACGTCAGATGTCGGTCCATAGTGAGGCCGAGATTTTTAACTGCGCGGCTTTCAGAAATGATCGACTGTCTAAACTTAATCTGAGCTGGCTGGGTGTCCTGCAAAGCTATTTTGGTGCCATGAACGTTTTCGCTTGATTGATTTTCATGCCATAGTGTACTGAATATTTGTTACAGAGTATGATGGAGAGGTCGCAAAATTGACCTGACCTTAGGTCACCGATATCGAAATTCCGAGATAAACATTTTGTATATACTGTTACTCTCATCAATCGCTGAAAGCTTCAAGGCGATCGTTTAGTCGCTGTAGCTATGACGAGGATTGAAACTTTTTCTGAGGTGAGGTCACTTGACCTGACCTGGTGACCTGACCTTAAGAGCCCTGGGTCTGATTTTTTTTTTTACAAAATGTGCGGAAAAGATGCATGAACAGGTGTGCCAAAAACAGTGGCGCTCCGCGCCGCCGTTTTTGAGATATCTGCGAAAAACCGCAGGGGATGTTCAAACACCCCCGGCCCGGCGCGGGTTAAACAATGCAAAATTTCAATGATCGGACCACGAACGTTTTCAGGTAAGGGTATTGATTAGAACTGAGTGATAAACGTTACGTCAATATTCACCACTTTTTAGAGGTGAGTACCTAATTGAGAAAACGACCGAATTGGACACTTCCCCCTATGTGATAGGGCCACTGGCGACATCCAGCCTTCTAAAAGTGATAATGGTCACTGGCGATATAAAGCCTTGAGTAAAATAATAGTGGCCACTGGCGGTATGTAGCCTTCTAAAATTGATAATGGCCACTGGCGTTATGTAGCCTTCTGTAAGAAATAGTGTCCACTGGCGGTATGTAGCCTTCTAAAAGTGATAGTATCCACTGGCGGTATCCAGCCTTCTAAAATAATAGCGGGGGCATTCCACGATAGATCGTACCAGGCCCGTCACCCTCATCTCTCATATTTGAATGAAAATTGGTACAAGGGGTAATCATAGGCTCCAAAAACACCTGCCAAAATATCAGACTTCTCAGATGAAAACTTTTTGAGTTACATTGCATAATATTTTCTAAACTTTAGATTGTAAGGGTGAGTTTGATGAGCTATAACTAAAAAACGAGCTAAGCAAGCAACAAACGGTCAACAGCTTTGAACTAACGATGAATCAAAGATTGATACAGTATTTTTATAATTGGAAAGAAAAGCTTTACATATTGAAAAAAGTCGTAGTATTTTTTTAAATCGTCTATAATGGCCCTTGGGACCAAAATTTTTGCCATTTTTATTTTTTCAAAATAAACCTCAGGTCCTTTAAAATCGACATGCAAAAAATTAGAAAGGTGTTCTTTCTATAAGTTCCTCATTTAAATGTATACAAAATGGGTTTCCGGGGGTTCGGTACGACCCCAGCTCGCCGTTTCGCCTCTAATGGAGCTAGAACCTTGCGGAAAAAACGAGCATGTGCGCCGTTACAAGATGCATCGAATGATACCACATTTTAAGGTCTCGGGTTCATTGGTGACCCCTGAGGTCATTTCAAGTGACCCAAATTACGGGTCCGGTTTTTGATAGATAACTTCGCAACAAATGGTCGCAGAGCCGCGATTTTAGCATCTTTGTGTTTGCCTAGCTCCGGCGCGTCGAATGATATGCTGTTTGTTCTGGTGAGGTCAGCTTAAGTCGCTGACCTCGGGTCAGCACACTGCCGTGTATTTGGCTCCGCTCCCCGACCGGGCGGCCCAGCCGGCAGCCAGCCGCCGGGCATCACGTGACCGCCCCGAGTCCGCGGCAAAGCCAACCAGCGCGGCGCTGGACAAACAGCGCCGCCACAGAGATGGTTAACAGTCCGGTCAGGCCACGAAGCTGAGTGAATGAGATCATATTGCACATCATTCGATTCGCAACGTCTTCCCGAGTCCATTGGTAGCTTTCCCGTCTCTCTAGCTCAATTTGATCGATAGTTATTGACGGAAAACTCTTATGACCCTAGTGACGTACGAATGACGTCACGCAAGGTCAACAATGCAAAAGTGAGGCAAAAATGACTTCAATTGAACTTTCAGTAACCAGTGATGTCACTAGGCAGCTTAACCACACCATTTGTAGGCTCTCTTCCGAAATCACAATACGAGACCATTACGGTGACGCAAAATAAGTACATTTATAGAAAGAACACCTTCCTAATTTTTTGCATACTACTTAAAAATGATCCAAAAATGTTTTTAAGTAAATAAAAATTCCAAAAAATTTGGTCCCAAAGGCATAAAAATGCAAATGAAAGGAAAATCGAGGCGTTATATATCGAAAATAATATAAATTTCAAAATTTTGAAAATGCATATTATTCTTTGTTTCAATGCAAGTTCAATGCCGTATAGCATTTGGCGTTTGGATTATCCGTCTTAGAGTTACAGCCCGCCAAACTTGGGGCTGCAACGCAAGATCCAAAACATGTTATACACTATAACTCAAAAACCACTCATCTGATAAGCCTGAAATTGTTACAGGAGGATTCAGAGCCCCTGATTACCCCTTAGACCAATTATCGTTAAAATCCGAGAGATGAGGGTGTCAAATTGGAAAAAAGTGGTACGATCTATCGTGGAATGCCCCAGCGGCCACTGGCGGTATCCAGCCTTCTAAAAGAAATAACGACCACCGGTTGTATCGCACCGCTTGATACTAGACCGTGTCCTGTAATCCACCAGTCGATGGTGAGGTGTCAGGGATCCGTACCCGTG